GAGAGAGAGAGAGAGAGAGAGAGAAACATCAATGATGTGAGAGAATCACTGATTGGCTGCCTCCTGCACACCCCACACAGGGGATCGAGCCCAAAATGCGGGCATGTGCCCTGACTGGGAATCAAACCAAGACCTCCTGGTTCATAGGTCGACGTTCAACCACTGAGCCACACCAGCCGGGCTGTTGTCATTTTTTTATTTGACAATCTAAGGGAAAAGTGGCCAGTGGCCCTGACTAAATAGTTAGGTATTGCATATTTTAAAGATTCTTGAAATCGTTGGTCTAAATTATTAAATTTGATCCATATGGTAACTTGTGAAGCAGGTGCTGTCACCCTATTTCAGAAGGGGAAACTGAGGCTCCCAGAGGTAGGTGACTGGCACAGATGACAGGGTGAGCACTGAGGGAAGAAGGGGCTCTGCTTCTAACAAGTGAAAGGGGATGTGTAGGAACCTAAAGAGAAAAGGAAGACTGAACGGAAAGAGCAAGGCTTCACTGGCACCAAAACACTGGCAGAGCCACAGCTGGCCCTGGGGACTGGCCTGGAAGTCATTTTGACCAGATTTTAGGATGGGGAAGATGTCAGGAGAGCCCTCAGCCCTTCTTCCCACTGAGCCAAGATGCTCAGTGCCTGCTCAGAGTGCCCCCTGCTGTCAGATGGAGGCACCGAGGTAAGACAGCCTTGGAACAGAAGCTGAAAGAGGGAGTGGAGCCGATTCTGTTCCCACGGACAAGGAGCAAGCCTCCAGCCAGGCAGTTCCGCGGACTCTGGGCTGGAGCTCTGGCTCACATTTTGGGCACAGAGGAGGCGGTCCAGGATGAGGCGCTCTCTAGAAGCCATGCCCTGGGAGAAACTGTTGAAGAAAGAAGGTTAGTGGGTGCTCAACTCTGAAGGGCCATCCTGGAGGATGCAGAGCAGGCATAAAGGCGCTTGGGGACAGAGCAAGGCCCACGGGCGGTGATTCAGGAGGGCAGACAATTCAATATGAAAACTTCACAATGGATGACTGAAGACAAAACGAGCTGCCGCTAAGAACAGGCAGAGCCCCCTCTGTGGAAGGGACTGGACCGACAATTTTAGGAACCCTGAGAAAGACGCATGTTGCCCCCCTCAAGGGTAGGCACCTGTCCTTAGCCCTGGGAGCATCTCTGTGCTCCAGGGCATCACTGCTTCCCTAACCTTGAGATGCTGTTGACTCCTGTCCAACTTCTCTCAAGAGAGTGCTGATAGCTTTGTTTTTATTTTTACAACTGCGGAAAAATAACTGTGATTTATGTTTTCCCACTTATGTAGCTGACTCATGTTTCTTTCACAGTTCCAGCATGTTTTCAGCAGCTACAAAATTTTCCCCCGGGGAATTAAGAAAGGTATATGCCCTAAGACACACTGTGCCAACAAGAGAGGATCATATATCAAGGAGATGGTCAGTTAGTACCTTCCAATCCTGACCGTCCATGAGGTGCTGGGCCTGGATTCAACCTGGCATCCATGCAGGGGCACAGCAAGTTCCAAGAGCCCTCAACCTGCTGCTCTCCTGGGCCCAGAAGCAATGCCCTCCTCATTTAGAACACCTGCCTTACCAACACCTCTATAACCCCAAGGTTACTCCTTGGACCAAGATGCCCACTTTGTCTGTCTGGAGATCCTGACTGATCCAAGGGGAGTTTAGAAAAGAAAGAGGTGGGGGGATGAATGGGATGCCATCCCCTAACCAACCACAGCTAGACCCTCCCTCGGGCCTCTAAACAGTAACAAGACCTTAGGGCAGAAGACATTTAGGTGCCATGACCCCTGATCCCAAGCTTAAAGGGCAGAGCCTGCCTCTAGAGCAGTGGTTCTCAACCTTTCTAATGCCGCGACCCTTTAATACAGTTCCTCATGTTGTGGTGACCCCCAATTTCATTGTTACAAATTGAACATAATTAAAGCATAGTGATTAATCACAAAAACAATATGTAATTATATATGTGTTTTCCGATGGCCTTAGGCGACCCCTGTGAAAGGGTCGTTCGACCCCCAAAGGGGTCGCGACCCACAGGTTGAAAACCGCTGCTCTAGAGTCACCTGCCTCTGTAGGGCCTGAGGGAGCTCATTTCTGCCTCCCTTTGAAGCCAGAAGTGACTTCCCTGAATGGTTTCAGTCCTGATTCCTGGGCAACAATGGATGAGGGAGGGGCCTGCCCTTTATGGATTCCTGGAAAGGGGATGCCCAGTTGTCACAGCCAGGAGACAATGTGGGCTGCCCACTGCTCCGCGTGCATGGCAGAGTCTGCTCCACCCCATTCACCCCAGAGAAAGGGTTTTCTTAAGACCATTAGGGTTCTGGTTGGGCGGGGAGGTGATGACAGTAACCTCAGGAGATGCTGCGAGGCTTTTCTGAGTGAACACTTCCAAGCCTGTGGCCGTCCCAGGCTCAGGTGCCAAGTCCGGCTGAGAGGTGTCCTGGGTCCTCTGGGACTGCAGGGGAGGCCCAGGGCCAGAGGAAAGGGAAAGAGGGAGGAAGGGAAGGAGAGACAGAGAGGGAGAGAGAAAGCAGGAGAGACATACACACAGAGTCCATAAATAGCCCCGCTTTGTAAATACATCATCAGGTTTCATAGATTAGGTCAGGAAGGAGCCGCACTGCTGTGGGGCGGGACAGAAAGGAACTGCCCCTCCAAGCCATTCAGAGAGGGAGGCCCATGGTCAGCTCCCAGCCAGCACCGTGGCTTTGGGCCTTCCCTCATCGCCTGCTCATTCTCATTCAAGAGGTTCTGGAGCCATATCACTTGCACACGGTTCAAAGTCTTCTCTGGGTGTCTTTGCTTTAGACGATGGTTCAAGCCTGTAGTCTGGGTCTCAGCCGCTTTTAGAACGTTATCTTTGAGATGAAAACCTAGGCTTGGCAAATCGGAACTCTTCTTTATAGTTTGGGGTCCCTATTTTGGTTTAAGCTCCTACCGTTTTGCCCTGGGCCCAGATGAGGCCCAACAATACATGAGGAAGCTACTAGGAACTATGGATGAAACACCCTGCAGATCTCCCCTGCAAAGTCCATGTTTGATCAGGAACTCTAATTGTCAGCAATGCCCGTTGACTGTCCACACTGTCCAATTTATAAAGTAGGTTTATATCCATTATTTTGCTCAACCTTCCCAATAACCCAACCCTATAGCAATCTTAGTTCCCTCTAGATGGACTGACTAGCCAGTGAGGCTCAGCGAGGTGAGGTTATTTGCCCAAGGAGTCAGACCGGTCCTTAGCTAAGGCTCCTCCCCATCCCCCAAATCTTTAAAGGCCTCTAAATGCTCCAAGGTGAGCTCCTGGACCAGACTTCTTTCCTGCAGTGGGAAGACAGGAGAGGAACAGACTCCGCCTTTCAATGATCCAATTCTAGCAGTTCCAGCTGTCACCAGCAGATGGGGCACCCCCAAGCCAGGCTGCTCTGAGGCCACCCCAATGCTCCAGGAGCCCAGCTCTCCAGGGCTCATCCTGCCTCTCTCTGCTGGAGTCTGACTGTGTCGGAAGGCCCTCATCCCACCCTACCCACTTCAGGACTGAAGAGAGTCCACTCTGGTCAAGGGTCTCAGGGCAGGAGCAGGGCAGGTAACTGGATCACTAGACCAGCCCCCAGGCCCAGTTCAGCGTCTTCAGGGTCTTGATTATGTCAAAGGTGACCACAGAAGCCTTCAGTGGATGCAGAGATTTGCCCTCCTTCCATGGCACCGGCCCTAAAAGCCCCCAAATCATCCCTAACTTTGCGAATCACCAGCCAGGGAGCCATCTCAGCAGCCTCACTGGACGAGGCCCTCTGTTAGCCGGGATGGCAAGGCCGTGGGGAGTGCTGAGTCAATAGAATGCTCTGCTTATTAGATCATGGCTGCATCAACCAATTGTCAAAGCATTAGAGGGCATCACACACACAATTGACTCTATGTCTGGTCTTCACATAATTTGGTCTTGCTTCTAGGCAGTTGTGATTTAATAGCAAATACAGTGCCTGGGACACAAGAAAATCAGATTCTGGCTCCTCTTCTATCAACTATGACACTAAAAATGTCCTTCCCCTTCTGGGCCTCAGGGCCCCATCTGTGACATGATGACCTTGAACCAAGCGGGTTCTGAGGACCCTTCCAACTTTAAAAGGGATCCTGACTCCAAGTTAACCTTCTGTGTGAGTCCCAGGTCTCTCAAAATGAAATAAGAAGTAACTCATATTGAGCCTCTGGGTCTCTGCTTGGCCCCTCCATGCTTTATCTCCTTTGATCCTTACAACATTCCTAAGAAGTAGATGCTTTATTACCTCTACTGAATGAAGGCTCAGAGAGGTTATGTCACAAGCACAGGGTCATCCAGCTAGCAGGCAGCAGAGCCAGAGTTCAAACCCAGGCGGTATAAGTCTAGATCCCAGTTGGGTTTGAGCCCAGTAAGCAGCAGCACTAGGGTATAAAAACCCAAGTATAGACGGAGGTAAACACTGCCAAGATTTAGCAGCGCTAATAATAACGTTGGGATTATCAACACAAGAATTCTCGAGATCCGTCTTTCTCTTTTTCAATCGCTTTCCACTCTGAAAGGCACAGGAGCAGCTGGTTTTCCCTCTAGTGGGCTCTGAGGATCCTTCCTGGAGGGAATACTTCCGGATCTGTGTTTTCACAATAGGCTCAAAAGGGTCTGGTTACTAGACAGAACTCCCCTGATTCTTAGAGTTCAGTGTGCATGAGAATCGCCCGGGGCACTTGTTTCAGATGCTGATTCCAGGGCTCTGCCTCCAATATTCTCATTCAGGAGGTCTGATGTGGAGTCCAGAATATGCATTTCTAACAAGTACCCCTTCTTCCCCATTATACTCTGGCTGACGGAAGGGGACCACACCAAGCCACTTTGAGTTTCCCAGGGTAGTCCCTGGGGTCCCAGATTCCAAGATTTAGTGACTTTGTCTTCCTCAGCTTAACTCACCACCCCAACCCCATCATCACTGCACACAGGGACAGGGAGGAGCATACAGCTGTGGGGGTGACAGTGAGTCAGCACACTTCCCCACCCTCTTTACCCAAGGCCCCCGTTGAGGGGTTCAGGGTGAGACTTACCTCGCTGGCTTTCTCAGGGGTGCCTTTGGGGGAGGGGGAGGCAGGTGAGGAGGGCAGCCTGCGTTCCCGTTCCCAGTCTCGATCCCGGTGGATCAGTTTGCTGTTGGGTTCCTTCAGGGTCCTCTTGAGCTCGTTGATGCTGGCCTGGTGCTTCAGCAAGACATCCTCTGGCTTGTCTAAGAACTAGGGTGATAGAGAGGACAGCTAGGCATTAGCGGAGCAGCTCCAAGATAGGATACTGGGTGTGGTCAAAATGGCAACAGTGACCATTGCTGCCCTCTATCAGCAAGGTGATTCCCATCCATGACCTGTGTCACTCTCCAGCGCCTCATGAACCAGGCAGAGCAGGGATGTTAGCCCCAACAGGTGCACAAAGCACTTGAGATTAAAAAGAGGAGGGAGAGGACAGCCAGGCATTAGCGGAGCAGCTCCGAGATGGGATACTGGGTGTGGTCAAAATGGCACCAGTGACCATTGCTGCCCTCTATCAGCAAGGTGATTCCCATCCATGACCTGTGTCACTCTCCAGCGCCTCATGAACCAGGCAGAGCAGGGATGTTAGCCCCAACAGGTGCACAAAGCACTTGAGATTAAAAAGAGGAGAATTCTGCCCTGGCTGGTATTGCTCAGTTGGTTGGAGCTTCATCCCATACACTGAAAGGTGACGGGTTTGATTCCCGATCATGGCACATATCCACATTGTGGGTTCAGTCCTCAGTCAGGGCACTTACAGGAGGCAACTGATCAATGTTTCTCTCACATTGATGTTTCTCTCTCTTTCTCCCATCCCTCCCCCCCCCTCTCTAAAAGACATCTCTAGAAGAGAGAGAGATGTCTTTTAGAGACATCTAGAAGAGAGAGAAAGAGGAGAGACTTCTGGTCAAGCATAACCTTTTCCACTTCCCTGCCTGGCTCCTGGTCTTAGAGCCCAAACCCATGCAAATCCCACTGGTCTGGGTGAGTTCCCTTGGGTGCTGTGAGCCCAGTCTAAGTCACAACCGAGGTACAGTGAGAACTTGCCAACCCTGTTCACTTGGAGGCTCTGACCGCCTCCTTGGCCTCCCAGATCCTGGTCCCCACCTCTGACCAAGACTTGGACCACTGTGCTTAGCAGGATCCCTGGTCTAGGCCACTCCTGGACCAACATATGCAGTAAATCAGGCCCTGTGGGGCCCTTCTAAAGCCAGGGACATCCATTAAAATGGGCTCTGTTCCCACACCAAGGACCGGGGACCCAGGGACCAGGAAAAGATTGTGTTCAGTATTCTCTGCTGACAGCCTCTACCTTTCCCAACCACCCAGAATCTTCCAGATACCTGTGGGTATTGGTTCCTCAACAGCAGACAGGGTGAGATACAGCCAGAGAGGGGTGTTCAGGAGGATCAGGAGAATTAGAGCCCAGGAAGAAGATAGGTAAGTCCAAGGCTGGACACAAGAACTGAGCCAGGTATAGCCGGAGTCATAGGTGAGTCCCACATGGTACTGCCAAGTCTGAGCTCTAGCCAGTGCATCATGACAGAGTAATCTGCCCCTAGGTCACATGAGGTGCAGCCTTTGCACATGAGATGGCAGTGACCCGCCAAAGCTGCCTGTCTGTGTACTTCTGGGGGCAGGGCAGTAGGCTGGTGGTCCAAGGACCCTTATCTGCAAGGCTATTTGAGGGTTCATGTCAACTCGATTCAGGGCAAGAAATGGACAATCTCAGCTTATTATAAAGTCAGATCAGGAGATTCTAGAACTACCTGGAAGGTAAGCTTGTCCTTGAACAAGCTAGACTCTTCCCCTGGGATTCTCTCTGGCATCCGAGGATCCTCTATGATTGACTCCTAGGTGACCTCAGAAGGAAACCGATGCTACTGAGGCTTCTGCTTTGCCTGCAAACATCTGTCCGTACCCCTTTTCCTGAGCTGAGCTGCCTCAGGACCGTGTCTGTCTGAGAAATCAAACCTGATAGAGTTTGATGGATTGGGGCTGCAATAGACCCAAGATGTGTCTTGTGACCTTCTGTCCTGTACCTGCCACTCTGGCTCAGTGGGCATGTAGTGTTCCTGACAGCTAGAGGGAGCGGTGGAACCCCAAGATCCTTGAAAGGCCTTAGGGAAACCTAGTCTAAATGCCTTACTGTGCAGGTGGGGAGCTGGGGCCTGAGGGGATGTCCCCAAGACCTCAAAAAGTCAGTGGCAGAACTGGGGCTAAAATCCAGACCACGGGACTACAAGGCCAGGCCCTTCTTACATCTCAGCCTCTGGTCCTTCCCCTCGGGCCCAAGAATAAATCCACTTCTCTTGCAGTGAAAGTTCAAATGAAGAGATGGAGACTGTGTGAAAGGGAAGGAGAAGTGGTTAACACAGATGAATAGGGTGAGGGTGAGGAGAGAGAGGAGGAGAAAAGGAGAGGAGGCTTTCCTGACGCTGGAGAAGCAGACCCCAGCCAGAGGGAGGGGCAATGGAATCTGAGAAGATGCAGATGTGCTCTGAGGCTCCTCCCTCCCAACCCTCCCACCCACATTTGGTTGCCAATAGATACAAAAAAAAAAAAAAAGCAGAAGAGATGAGCTCAATAAAAGCATGGAATGCCTGGAAGAGCTGAGGAACACAAGTGGGATAGTCAGCAGGGACGGGGGAGCGAGCATGGGTGGCCTGGGGAGGCAGAGTGTGAAGCTGGACAGAGAAGAGGGGAATGAAGGACGGAAACACTGCTAGGGGATGGAGTCTGAGCAGGATGCTGAAGAGATGAACTTAACAAGGGGAGCTGAGGGGGCCTGGGTGGGGGATGGGACTAGGGGGAGCGTAGGGGGAGGAGGATGGCCAGGGAGCAGGGGTGAAGCTAACACTGAGACGGCACCAGGATATCAGCCTGGGATGAACTGTGGAATGGTGACAAATGAACTGGGTAGGTAGGGACAGGTCCCATGCAGTACCTCCTGCTTGTGTCTCGGCGTGGTTTCCTGCTCCGGCTAGCAGACAGGGAGAGGAGGGAAAGCAACCAGCAGGGTCAGTAGAGCCAATGGATTAGAGACACCACGACCAGCCCAGTCCAGCAGGTAGCCCGGAGCGCTCTCACCCAAGCAACAGAGGCCAGGGAAGCTGGGTGGCCCACGGGAGCGGGGTGGGGGCAGTGAGTAGTCGGAAGGGGTGGAGTGTGAAGCAGGGAGGTGGCCCAGGGAGGTGATGAAGGGGGTGGGAGGACTGGAGGCAAAGTGAGCAGTTACACTCAGCAGATGGAAGTGAGGGTTCTGGGTAGTCCTGCTTCTTGCAGTCAGCATATGTGTTCAGGGACCTGTGCTCCCAAGTGGGACTGCATGTTGGAAACACACTATACCCATGTGTATACATGCCCATGTGCGTGTTGTTTAAAAATCTGGATACGTAACCCTGTGGGAGAGGGGTGTATCTCTGTGAGTGAATGCATGCAAGTCTGGGGCCAAGTGTTCCTGCAGGAGTGTGTGCACACTCCTGAGAAATGGGGGTGGACAACAAGAGGGGGACACACTGTGAGGGCCTGCAGAAACACCCCAGCATGATCTGGGGGAAAAGAGGCCTGTGCAGATCCAAATTGTAGTCCAAGGGGCAAATTCAGAGTGGGCAAGAGGAGGCCAGAGTCCCCTAAGGTACAGAATGCCCTCTGGGAAAGCAAGGCAAAAGGAGGGGAGGGTGTATGGCGAGCAGCATGCCCCCCACACCTGGGCATGTGCAGGTATTGAGCATGGCCCAAGGGCAAGGCTCTGAGCTTGGTGTACCCCATAGCAAGGGTGCTCAGCCACACACAGCTGGGGGCACCTGCAGGCCAAGGCTAAAGATAGGATCAGCCACCTGACCCCCAGATCAGTAGGTATAAGAAAGTCAGACTCCTACCTTCATCTCCTTGATCTTGGTGGGGGTCCTGACCTCTCCCTCCTCGGCCTCTGACTGCCGCCCCCCAGACTCGCCGTCTTCCTCCCGCTTGTCACCATCAGGTCCTGCGTCGTGGTTCTCACTGACCGAGGCTGGGCGGGAGAACTCCGCTGAAGTGGGCAGAAACAGCCGGGCAGCCACGTGAGACATCTCCCAGGTGCACGGACAGGGAGTCGGCCTTGCCACTTGCCCAACCATGCTTAGAGCGGAGCAGACACTTCCACACCCCAGCACATTGGGAATAAGAAACCAGTGCCCAACTGGGCTGAAGCAGCCTTCCCCAGGTCACGTGGACTGCCTGCCAGTCCCTTCCTGATTTCTATAGTACTAGAGCCCAGGTTCAAATCTCAAATCTCTCTCTCCTTAGCTGTGTGACCTTGGGTAAGTTATACAACCTCTCTGGGCCTCCGTTTTCTCATCTATAAACAGTACCTACTTCAGACAACTGGGAGAGGAACAAATAAGCTCATGTGTAGAAGTATCTAGAAGAGTGGCTGCCACAGAGTGAGCCAATTCCGTCAATGTTGGCGCACAAATGTTGATTTTCTTGTTGTGGCATTTGTGGCAGAATGCTCACTTGACCATTATCTAACAATACACAGATATTGTGAGATTAGCTTTTACTAGTGAAAGCTAAAGTCCTGAGGTTTGCAAATAATGTAGCTTCTTTATAACTCAAGGAAAATTCAAGGGAACCCTTGCAGTAACATCTTTCTCACTTTGCTGGCATTCCAAGTACTTTCCTGAACAGGAGAGAAAAGGGTAGAATTACACCCTTTACTCCAGACACTGGGCATAACTCAGACTATGCCCATGGATTATGGCTTGTGGGGAAGAAAATGGCTGAAAAACAGTGAATGACCGGAGCACAGATCATCCTTGGAATTGGCCTAGATTAAAAAGGAGAGAATTATCCTTTCTATTTATATATATTTACTCTGCAAAGTGCCCATTCATGCACATTATTTCATTTGAGCCCACAGTGCTCTGTGTTAATGACTGGAATGGGAATTATTATCCTCATTTTACAGAGACTCTGAGATCTTTCAGTGAATCAGGAGAAGAACCCAGGCCTACTGGCTTCGAGTCCAGGCTTCCGGCCCCCTCTTGATGAGCATCGTCAGATCTGGGCCAATCTCTGCTGCCTTGCACAATCTGGGCTTCGTTTTGCCCCTGGCATAGTAATGAAAGCTGCAGGGGAGGACAGAGAGACACTATGGGCCCTCCTTTCTTTTTGCATAAAACTCAGCTCTCAGTCCTGTGCCCGTTCAAGAATAAGGAGCTTCCTCAGTTCCAAATGGACCTTTGCAAAACTGCATGTCCTTCAAAAACGGCCGGGGAGTTCTGGAACAGGTCTCACCTTCATGCTGCAGGAAAAGTATCAGACTCCCCGATCACCTGGAAAACTCCCAGGTATCCTTCAAAACCCTGCCCAGTTGTCACCCTCTCTGCAAAGCCCTTCCTGCTCCTCCTAGACAGAATTAATCCCTCTCTCCCAAGGCTACTCTGTATTCTGTACTTCTTCCATTGCTTGAATCACGTTGAATGCTTATAAACCTACTCTTCTAGGAGCTCCTCGCAGGAACGGGCCATACTTATTCTAAGACTCAGAAAATATCTGTCGAGAGTCATGCCCCAGTGTGTTCTGGGAGTAGCCACTATTTCCCCCACTCAAGTCCCCACCTCCTACCTTTAAACCATCCTCTACAAATCTAAAAGCAATAATAATAATTTATTACTGCTACAATAAACAATAACGTGTTATTGGATATTACTTATTATGTTCCTAATATGTGCCAGGAATTGTTCCGGGTGTTGTAGAGGCATTATCTCATAACATAGCGAAGTAAATAGCCTTTATTTTGTAGAAGAGGAAATAGGCACAGGGAGTTAAGTTGCTCAAGGCCTCCCATCCGTTCATTCAGATGTTTATGGGCCACATCCTGTGTCTACAGAGTAGCTGGTGAGAGTCAAGGCTGAGATTTGAACTCAGATTTGCCAAACTCTGAATCTCCCCAGTGCTTTTATCCCATGTGGCTTCTGAATCTCCCCTACAAACTCCAGTGTGCATACTGGGGGAGTCAGGGTCCTGAGGGATACCAATTTAGTATGTCTGGGCCAGGGCCTGGGAATCTGCATGCTTAGCGGACTCACAGGTGATTCTGATGCAGGTGGTCTACAACCACATTTTGAGAAGCTCTGGTCTGCTTGACAGAGGACAATGTAGGGCCAATTCTTGTTGATATTAAGGGCACCTGTCAGCCCAACAGAGAGTGCCATGTGTTAGTGTCAATCAGTTTAATGGAACCAAAAGAATGACTGGGAACAACCCCTCTGCCTCCCGTCAGGTAAGGCATCACCAAGTCCACATTGCAGTCATAATACATCATTCTCCTGGTATGATGACAACCCGTGAATCACTAAGCATCTTAGGCAGGGGGCCCAGAAACCCATATGGCTAAACCTGGGACCCCAAAAGGCTCAACGAAGTCCCAGGAAGTCTAGGAGGGGCAATGTCACGTCCCAGCGATAGTGAGGCCATAGGTTGGGGCTAAACCACTGAGAGCTGCCCAGGTGCAGTGGTGCTCTTGGGCCACCATGCCCAGTGCAAGTCAACCTGTGATGTGTCTACCACCCTCACTGCTCATTCTGCACCTGGCATTCCCATCTCCTTCCCTCTGAACACCACTCTTCTCCCACCTCCAATTTAGGGCATACCTCCATCAAGGCTGCGGGACATGGTGTACCGTTTGCTGGAGGAACGCTCGAAGAAGGGAGCGGGCCGGTCGATGAGGGCGCTGGCCTGGCGGGTCTGTGCCTGGGTCCTCCCACTATACCGGAACTTGGAGCCCATCACCAGGAAGCCCTTGGGTGGGGGTTCGGGGGACACGAGCCTGCAGTGGAGGGATGGAGGTGAGGAGGGGGGATCATACCTGCTTTTCCAGGTCCAAGGCTGGACCACAGCTGGCCTTTCATCCCACTGTCCCACTAGCTACACTCTGTGGTCCAGGAGGGGAAAGAGGAGGGAGGTCTTTCCTATGATCCTTACTACCTTCTCCTCCTGCTCTGCCCTCAAAAAACACAGACATCACCCACACATACACTCACAGCCTCTGTCTCATCCCCAATTACCCCATCCCCGGGTCTGGCTCACCGGAAGAATGTGTGGTGCTCAATGCAGACCTTCCACAGTCTCTTGGCTGACCGGTGGTTTGGGAGTTTAAAGCCAATTGTGCTCTCGAACTGCTCATACTGCAAAACCAAGGAGGGTGGGTAAGAAGCAAGACCTGGGCCCCTCTCACCATCAGTCCATCCTTTTGAACCTCTTTTCAGCATGCGTGACTCTGGCCTGTTCTTTTATTTATTCACTAGAGGCCCAGTGCACAAAATTTGTCCACGGGAGGGGGCCTTCCTCAGCCCGGCCTGCACCCCCTCACAGTCCGGGACCCCTTGGGGGATTTCCGCCTGCTGGCTTAGGCCCAATCTCCCAGGGATCAGGCCTAAGCCAGCAGTCCGACATCCCTCTCGCAGTCCGGGACTCTCGCAGTCCAGTACCCCTCGCTCCTTACTGCCCACCTGCAGCGAAGGCAACCACCACTGCGCTCGCCAGCCATGAGCCAGGCTTCTGGCTGAGCGACGTTCCCCCTGTGGGAGCGCACTGACCACCAGGGGGCAGCATTGAGTGTCTGCCCCCTGGTGGTCAGTGCACGTCATATCAACCGGTTGTTCGGCCATTCGGTCGATTTGCATATTAGGGTTTTATTATATAGGATTCGTTTACTCAATAATGTGGACTGAGCCCTTACTCTGTAATCGGTCTAGAGCAAGAGAGACACCATAGTGATCAAGACAGAAGATTCAGGGAGGAGGGGACTTTGATCATAAATAAGTAAACAAGATCATTTCAGATACTGATAAAGTCATGAAGGGACTGGACAGAGGTGTGTGATGTGACAGAATACCTGTGTAGGCGCAGGGGTGGGTACTATTTTAGAAAGGTGATCTGAAGGATGGGGAAGGAATCAGCTATCTGAGAGGGTGGGGAAGAGGATTTCAGGTAGAGGAAGAAAAAGCAAAGGGCTCATGGAGGGAAGGGCTTGCTTATTCAAGGATTTCAGAGAAGGCCAAAGGGGCTGGAGTGCAGTGGGCATGGGGCAATGTGGGGGAGGCAGGTGGCCACAGACAGAGTGTGGGCTTTAGCCCAAAAGCTAAAAAGAAAGCTCTTGAAACATTTAAGCAAGGACTGGGAATAAGGGGTGAGTTTCACATGCTATGATGGAAGGGACTTCCAAGCTCTCTTCAGCAGCTATGAAGAAAATGGCCTGGAGTGACAGTGGGGGCAGGGGAACAAGAAGGATGTGGTGGAGACGAAGATGAGAGATGATCGCTGCTGGTAGCTGGTGCAGTGGGGAGGCAAGAAGCAGATGGGTTCGTATTTATTCTAGGGTCAGCTGTGGAGGCTGGATGAATACATGTTTGCATGTGTGTAGTTGTGTGTCTATATGTATGTGTACGTACTTGAGTATTACATGTAAGCAAATACAGGGACATGGACATGTATTCTATGTACACCGAATATATGTGATTACCTTTACATGTGTGCTCGTGCATGTGCTTGTGTGTGTGTGTGTGCAGGACATACCTAAGGTGTGAAATGTCTGAGAAGAGCCCCAGCAGAAGATGGATCTCTCCATACCCAGCACCCCAGCACCGCCATCCATGTATCCTGAGTAGGAAAAATCCAGGCCCAGCTACCAGATCCTCTCTATTCTAGTCAATTCGGTGAGGAGGAGGGATTCCCAAGCAGGCTCACCTCCCCAGGCCGGATCTTGATGTAGAAGTTACTCCTCTTGTAGGAGATCTTGAGAATCTTGGGCCAAGCGAAGCGGTTGATCCTCAGTCGGTCCCGGTAGATGAGCAGGCCATTGGCACAGACTCCTAACATAATGTCAATGCCCTCAGAGTCCTGCGTGAGAAGGGACCATGGAACAGCAGGCCTGGTGCCCACGCCTGGGGAAGCCTGCCCCCGACCCCAAGTCCCTCCTGAGCTCTATTTATAAATGAGCCCAAGGAGCAGGTGGACTTGGAGGCTCCGTTCTGGAGTCCCCTGACCATCCCTCACACAGTCATTTAACCATTCACTCCTTCATTTTGTCATTTATCCCCCCACTCACTTGTTCTATTATTTTCTTGGTTAATCACTTATTCATCCAGCAAACACTTAATGGTACATATTCGGTGCCAGGCCATGGGCTACACACTAGGGCAGTGGTCGGCAAACTCATTAGTCAACAGAGCCAAATATCAACAGTACAACGACTGAAATTTCTTTTGAGAGCCAAATTTTTTAAACTTAAGCTATATAGGTAGGTACATTGTTATTAACTTAATTAGGGTACTCCTAAGGCTTAGGAAGAGCCACACTCGAGGGGCCAAAGAGCCACAGTTTGCCGACCACGGCACTAGGGATACAGAAATAAATTAAGTCCCTGTATTTCCCTCACAATGCTCCCAATCTAGTGGTGGCACAAACAGGTTCAAAAATAAATATAATACAAGGAAAAAATGATAAGGGTCATGGAAGAATAAAGGGTTATGGAACTTTGAGGCTTCAGGTTGGCAGGAATGCAGGGTCTGGCACACCAAGCCCTCCAGAAGAACATCATAGTTCAATGGGGACCCCCAGATGCTAGGGGGCCCTGGGACCCAGTGGTACCTTGGCATGGTGCAGGTCTACTCCGTACATGGAAAGCTTCTTGGCATTCTCCAGGAAGTGGATTTCTGCTTCTCCTGGGGTCATGCCCCTAATGGAAAGAAAGGGATCACAGGTGGCCATGGGAAAGGCCCGGCCTGAGCCCTGCTGCCTGAAGGTGGCCACAGTCAGGACCTGTGATTCTAGGAAGGCAAATGTTCTGGAGTGGTGTATGGCTAGACCTCCCCTCTGCTCTCAATGCAGGATGGTGCACCCCAGACCCCTCTTCAGTCTACCCAACCCCCATCTCCTGCCAAAGCTCAAGTCCAATCTTGTTTCCTTCAGGAAGCATTCAAGGGCTGGGCCGGGAGTCAGGATTTTTGTCTCATTCTGCCACTGAGTGAAGTGTGAGCCATAAGTCCTGCTTCTCCATGACCATGAAGCCATTGTGGAAAGCTGTCCATTATAATCACCCAGGGACTCCGGAATCACTGCCCACATAAGATATTTATCTTATATACAGGATCTGGAGTCAAAAAGGCCTGATTATGAGTCCTGATTATAGCATTTAGTGAGTAGGAGACATGTATTATGCCTTCCTGACATCTCATAGTATCTTTCACAATTCTAAATATATAGTAAATATTCATTAAATTTAAATAAATATATATATCTTAGAACATTATATCAGAAACCACTTAACCTCCCCTGAGGAACAGGTGCCCTTTTTCCTTTCTGAAAAGAAGTTATACAAGTTCCTTCTTTGCTTTGACCGCCAGGAAAACCATACATTTTACACTCAGTCACAGCTAACATTTATTGAGGACTGCATGAGGTTACTGTCCCAAGCACTTTGCATGTCTGAAGTTATTTAATCTTCAAAACAATTCTATAAATAGGTATTATCATTTTTCCCATTTTACAGCTGAGGAAGCTGTGGCACAGAGAGGTTGAATAACTTGCCTAAGGACACATAGCTACTAAGTAGCAAAGTCAGGATTTGAATCCAGACAATGTGGGTCCAGAGTCTGTGTCCCTAACTATTACATTTACATCTGTCTCATATCCTCCAGGCCTGTTTCCTCTGCTCTGTCCCCCTCAGTGAGGTACTGTGTGGAATACCTGGACAGCAGATGTCAATGTGCTCTCAGTCGAAAGAGCTGGAAAGGGATGGCCATCAGCATTTTTCCAGCCCATACTGATCTAAACTTCTTTCTCTGAATCACAGTCAGACCTTGAAGATATTGCAGGTATACTTCCAGGCCACCAGAATGAAACCAGTATCACAGAAAAGCAAGCCATACAAATTTGTCGGGTTCCCAGTATGTTTATACTATAGTGTAGTCTATTAAGTGTGCAATAGTATTGTGTATAAAAAATAGACACAGCTTAATTTTAAAATACTGTATTGCTAAAAAAAAATGCTGTTATCTGAGCCTTTAGCAACTCGTAATCCTTTTGCTGGTGGAGGGTCTTACCTTCAATTTATAAAAAACTCAGTATCTGTGAAGTGCAATCAAACAAGGCATGCCTGTATTCTGACTTTTGCAGATCCCTAACACATCCTAATGCCTACAACAGGAATGACAAAGAGATGGTAGGCAGGCCATCACTCCCTATTCCCGAGCCAGGCAGACACTGCTAACCCATCATATGGTTTCAGTATCCTACTCAACACAATACAGCAACAGCCATTGCTAACCAATCAGAGTTGTGTGCAAATCTCAGAAAGACACATCTGCCACCCTGATGCAGCATTCCATCACACCCCAGCAGGCTTTCTTCCCCACATACATGATCCCTCCACGGCTGGCCGTGGACCTCCTCTCCTGATTCAGCTCCAGGACACAGCCCTCCTCCTTCCCTCCATCCTTATTAGCAATGAGAAAACATCACCATACCTGCTCCCACAGGCACAGCACTGTACAGTGTATAATGCACTTTCACATTCTTTACCACACTGGGTTCCCATAACAATTCTGGCCTGGAGCCCAAAGCTCTTCCAACTTGACAGGACCCTAGAGACCATTCATTTTCAGGGGTTCCTCCCAGGGGATGGTACCACCCTCATAGTGGGCATTTGGAAATGGAACGGAACATTTGGGTTGTACAATGAGGGGTTGATAAGAGCACTTAATAGCTGGGGCCCAGGAATGTCAAACATCTTCCAGAATGAGTTCTCCTACTCCAAAGACCAATAGTTGAGAAACACTGGTAATCTAGGTCTGTACAAATACAGGTAAAGAATGAGGTTGAGCCCGGCCAGCGTGGCTCAGTGGTTGAGCATCGACCTGTGGACTCAAGGGTCCCGGGTTCGGTTTCCGGTCAGGGCACATGCCCGGGTTGCGGGCTCGATCCCCAGTAGGGGGCGTGCAGGAGGCAACCGATCCATGACTCTCTCTTATGGATTTTTCTCTCTCTCTCTCCCTCTCCCTTCCTCTCTCTCTAAACAAATCAATAATTAAAAAAAAAAAAAATGAAGTTGATAGATTAAATAGCCAGCCCACAACCACACATCTAGCTAATCATCTAACTTCTGCAACAAAGTGCTTTCCTCTGCACAACTATTCAAGCCCTCAAATCACAGAGAGCACATGGTGGATCTTTATTATGTGCCACTCAGTCCTCCCAGCAGCCCTCCCAGCAGGTTTCATTAGCGCCCACACTGAACGGAGGAGGACATTAAAGCAGAGGGAAGTGAAATGACAGGGCTGAGATCCCCGTGTGCGAAAGTGGCAGAGCCAGCAGGTGAACACAGGCAGCCCGGCTGTAGAGTGCAAGCTTGTGAACTTCATGCCACAATCAAGACATCAGGACACTTACTCAGGGACACATAATAGTTACTATTATCTCCAGTTGACAGATAAGGAAACTGATTCTCAGAAACCAAGGACAGGGAATCATCACACTTCTACAGGAGCTTAGAATCTGTGGTCCCAAGAGGTCATTTAAGGTTACACAGCTAGCTACTATCATTCTCATTTGGTGAGATGATTTGCCCTCAGATTTGCACCTCAAATTAGCAGCAGAGTCAGGTAGAGTACTTACAGCACTGCATCTGGGGGGTGTAGCAGGGAAAGTTCTATGAGCCAGGAAAGGCCCTGGGCGTAGGCCCTCTCACCTGTATGTCTTGTGCAGCTCCATGATCCTCTCCTCCAGCTCTCGGGTCTGGTTAGGGGCGAAGCGGAGCTCGCTGACATAGTTGCCCACATGCTCCTCGGCATCATAGTCGCCCAGCTCCGCCTGCACGGCGTAGGAGCCCAGCAGGGCATGCGTGACGAAGGAGCAGGGCAGCCGGCCTGTGATGATGTCTGCCCGCAGCTGCAGGCACAGGTAATATCTGGAGATAGGGGAGAGTGGGCATGGGCACGGTGCCTCTCCCACCCGAGATGCCCACTGATCCATCAGAACCGACCTAAGCACCCCCCAGCTCAGTAGGAAAGGAATTATCCTCGACTCTAGCATTTCACGTGTTGATATGTTGGGTGTGTCTGATGAGAGGGTTTTGTGCCATTTCCTATTTTAAGCATTTCTGTTCACGTCTAAATTTGAAGGATTTTTCCTACTGTGAGAGCATTTTCAATTTCTAATTCATTTTCAAGCTCAATGGGACTACGTTGATCACTTTCTGAAAATGTACTGTATTTTTTGTTTATACAATTAATATATTTTTATTGTGGAAAAATGTAAACTTTAGAGGTGACTCTAAACTTCCTCTTGATGTCCATTTTCAGGACCCCCCTCCACCAGAGGTCACCCCTGTTATCTGTTGTGTTCTTGACTTTTTTTCCTCCATGGACACACAAAAGGGCATGTGGTTTTATTCATGAGTGTTGTTAACATGTACATAGTACCAAATGCTACATCTGATTCTACAACTTGCCTTACAGCCCTTCCCAGGTCAGCATATGAGACCTGACCTCATTCATTTTAACTTCTGCACAGCGCGCCCACAGCCTGGACAGACCCATTTGCCAATGTTTTCTCAACACTTTTTATTTTGCCTCTAGCGCTAAGTGAATGGTCTAAAAATAAATTGGTTTAAAAGAAACATTTCCAACTACAAGGCCATGATTTTTTATAATTTTTATGCACACTTGGATGCTTTTACAATTTTTAGAGCCGTTTTTTATTGCTTTTTCAGTTATTGCTTATTAAAAAGAATGCTTCAGTCCGGTCTCCACCAGCAATGCCTACTTGCCCACTTTGCTATGTTTCACCATTTTTTCAACTGCCTGTTTTCTTTTAGGTGGCTTTTACTTAAAATAATTTTTACTGCTCATGATGTTATTTTGCAGTCTGAACTGGAGCTCTGGCAGAAAGCACGTACAGCCTCAGTGTGTGCTCAGGGCCCAGGCAGAGGCTCAGAACCAGCAGCAGCTCACACATCACAGGCAGCAAGTGTGGACAGATGGGCGTTTTGGTCAAGTCTAAGATTTCAGAAATCACTGCCAAGCACTCTGATCAATATTTCATTTCAATCCATTTGTCATTTTGACCAGTTTATTTTGGGCCTGAATATTTTTTTTTTTACTAAATCACCCCATTCCCTGGGATCATCCAAGCTGGACAAAGCTAGTTTCCCCCCTGGGGGTCACTGGAAGCCTGATGCCCGGGCAGGGACTGGCACAAAGAGGAGAGGCGTCAGTGGGCGAGACCAGGGGATCGGGGCCTGGCCTGGTCTAAGGCTCTCAGCCCTCCTGGGAATGGAGGTCAGACACTGATGCTAAATCTTGGCCCCAAGCCGGACCTCAGGGCTAATGAGCCCAAGGCCTCGGGCCAGATCTATTCCAGGGACAACTGTCTTATCTCTCAAGGCCAAAGTCAGCATCTTGACCTTGGCCCATTGCCTGGCAAACAGGCAGCCAACATTATGAAAGAAGGACCCAGTGGGAGGGAGGGGCTGATTCTATAGCCCTTCCCTGCTGTAGGGAAAACTCCAAGCCCACGTCTTATTGTTGGTGGGTCTGTAGGGACCAGCACATGGATGAGACTCTCTTAGAAGAAGCTTAGAAAAGGGAAAGGCCTCTCACTGTTCTCATCTTGAAAGATGCTTTGCCCCCCCTTTCAATCTTTAAGCCACAATGAGACTATACATGCAAGCCATGTGCACCCGTGCAGCCCAGGCTGCCTCCATGGGGATTGTCACATGCTTCATTTGACCCCCACATGCCTGACATGTGCACAGAACAGCACACAGGACAAAACTCCCACATGGGAAGGATCTGCACTCTACTCCCTCTTTATCCCCAAAGTTGAAAGCTGGTGGTCCACCCAGCACCTCAGATCTTCAGATGTGTTTGGCTGGTCCTACCCAAGGACGTCCCACACCACGTTTTAAAAAATATTTAAATTCGTTTCCAACGTTTAAAAATTGTGAGGTTTTTACTCTCAAATTGGGCCCAATTCTCATAAGGCCGTGATTGCCCAAGCTCAACAGCAACTGTCTTAGATGGCGTCTGTCCTCTTGGATTCACATTGGTCCCCACTGCTCCCTGTGACACCTCTCCCTCTGAAGCGAAGGGTCACCTGCCACTGACCATTATGTTTGCATCCCTTTCTCTTGCACTGAGTCATCTTCCTTTATGATGGTGTCTGCCTGGCCTAGGTAGGCATCTGAGGTTGCAACTGCCATCGCATACCACCCTGCGTCTCCCCCAGCCAGCATACCTGCCACCTCCCTCCACAGCCCTCACCTTGTGATATCTTCTGTCAGCTGGGCAGGGTCAGGGGGATAGAACTTGACTGTGAAGGCAAAATTCCAGGGGCTGCCTGAAAGAAGATGGGGCAGAGATCAGAGAGGCGCCATTACCCAGTGGGTGGCCCAGACAAACCATCCTATCAGCAATTTTCACAGTCGTCTCATATGTATAATCTCAGGACAATCTAATCAGAGAATCTGGAACATTGTTCCCACTTGACAGATGAGAAGACTGAGGCCCAGGTTAAGAGACTTATTGTAAACTAGCAGTGGGAAGAACACCAGTTGTGCACCCATTAATTATTTTACAAACACTGCTTCATTATATCTTTCAACAACCCTATGAGTAAGTCTGATGATTGTCCCCATTTTGCAAATGAGGACACTGGCTCAGGCAGTAAAGTTGTCAGCCCAAGGTCACCCAGCGAGAAAGGGCGATGCTGGGTTTCAGACCAGGCCCACCTGGCTCCAGAGCTCGTGCCCCTTCCCTTTCAGGAAAGTCTAGGCGACAGGACATTAATGGGAAGAAAGGAAGTCTAAAAGCACCACATTAAACAGGTTTTCTAACTTTAGACTTTGCAGAGCCCCCACTCTGCCATTATAAATTGTACCTCTCTAGAGGAGACAAGCATTCACGACTTCCCAAAACTTATCTGACCTGCTGTATCCATTTTTTATAAGGCAGATTAATGTTCCCTGAAACACACTGGAAAACTCTGCCCTATCTCACTTTAACTCTATCTCAAATGACAGCATTGGATTATAAACAAGACCTAAAAGGCAAATACGATGGGCTAAAAGTAACAAAGGTCATTTCACAGGGATAAATGTTAACCTCCAGGTTGAGATATGAAAAATTAATGGTACATCTATAGAAGGCGGACAGAAATAAAGGCTGAGGTTTTAGCTGGAAACTAGCTCAGTAAGCCAAGAGAAGGGATGACCTCTTAAGAAAGGAAGAGAGGTTGGTGGTGGGAGGGGCGGGGGCAGGAGGGAGAGGGGACCGGGAAAGAAATAGCGAGGAGGTGTTGATGAAAGGCTACAATCCAGAACAATGGTTAGACCACCCCTGAGACATTTGGGGTTCCATGCTCTAAAAAGGCCCGACAAAGTGAGAAAGTGAGGCCCATCCAGGACAGGGCAGTAGTCATGACGACTGGAGGCCATGCTGTCACTACCATCCTCATCATCACCCTCTTCACCTTTTAGCTGTCATGTCTCCAACACTTACTAAGCTCTGGTCACTTGGTTTGCTACATGTTACAGGCATGTGTAAGCAGTGGTTCTCAACCTTCTGGCCCTTTAAATACAGTTCCTCATGTTGTGACCCAACCATAAAATTATTTTCGTTGCTACTTCATAACTGTAATGTTGCTACTGTTATGAATCGTAATGTAAATATCTGATATGCAGGATGGTCTTCGGCGACCCCTGTGAAAGGGTCGTCTGACCGCCAAAGGGGTCGCGACCCACAGGTTGAGAACCGCTGATGTATAGGAATTTAATCTTCAGAATGATCCTGAGGTTGACTTTCCTTCCTATAGATGAAGATTTTGAGAGATGTGCTCACTTCGGCAGCACATATACTAAAGATTTTGAGAGGTTAAGTAACTCTCCCAGGGTCACTCAGCTGGTCAGCAGTAGAAAACAGAGGCCTAGCCTGGCCAGTGTGGCTCATTGGTTGAGCATCAACTCATGTCACAGGTTTGATTCCCGGTCAGGGCATATGCCTGGGTTGTGGGTTCGATCCCCAGCAGGGGGCATGCAGGAAGCAGCCAATCGATATTGATGTTTTTCTCTCATCGATGTTTCCCTCTCTCTCTCTCTCTCTCTCTCTCTCTCTCTCTCTCAAAACCAATAAAAACATTTAAAAAAAAGAAAACAGGGGTCTAACCTTGGGTCATCTGACCTCAGAATCCAGGCTCCTGACCACAGCTGACTCCTTGGCAAAAGAATACTCAAGGGGAGCCCTGGCCAGTGTGGCTCAATTGGATGGGCATCATCCCAGGCACGGAAAGGTTGTCAGTTCAACTCCTGTTCAAGGCACATGCTTAGGTTGAAGACACAATCCCCGGTGCAAGAAGCAGCCAATCATGTTTCTCTCTCTCTCACTGATGTTTCTCTCTCTCTCTCCCTCTTCTTTTCTCTCTCTCTAAATATCAATAAAATTATTTTTTTTAAAAATAAAGAAAGAAACCTTAAGGGGAAATAATCTCTGCCTCAGAAATAATAATAATGATAATAGTAACTAATACATACTGGGTGCTACTTGTGCAGGTACATTTTAGGTGTTGTGTACCTAATAACTCATTTAATCCTCACAACAACCCTAAAGGTACACACTATCATCATTCCCACTTGACAGATGAAGAAACTGAGACAAAAAAACAATACAAGAAGTAGTGATGGAGTCAGAAATCAAATCCAGGCAGTCTAGCCTCATTTGCTCTCCTTTTAAGCACCACACCACACTGCCTCAGAGAAGCCCCTGCTAGGCGGCAGGTACTGTCCACACATATGTTATTTAACGGTCACCTCCACCAGGGGAGGTAGGAGTCATTAATCTGCTTGCCAAGGAGAAGCAGGAGCCCAGAGGGCTGGAGGAACTGCCCCCAGTGCCCTCGGTGATGGGCACAGAGATTTGAGAGGAAATATACCCAACTCCGAAGCCCAAGATAAGGACTTGTGCCACCTTCAGAAGGCTGGGCGGGGGAGGGCTGTCTTAAAGAAAGGGCGTAAAAAATTGCTCCCTGGGGTCCCAGAACATGGAACTCGAATGAATGGGTGGAAGTTACACGGATAGGGCAGAGACTGTGGCTTTATACAGGAGGCAGCACTGCTCCAATGAGATGATGACACGAGGGCACTGACCCTGCCGGGGGGAGGGAGCTGGGACCACAATGGCCAGCGCTTCTCTTTTCCAAGCTTTGGGTCCTTCTCAAACACTGCTCACTGTACTTGTTCTGATTCTTCCACGCAGGAAAGCCAGGCCGCCCAGCCAGGCTGGGGCTCCTGGGGACAGCCTGAGCCCAGGCCTAAGGCTCGTCGGCTCCAGAGGAGCATGCTCTGTCTGTGTGCCTCTCTCTTTGTCTACAACTGACAGCAGCTTACAGGAAGAATTCCTCAAGCCCCCTCCTACAGAGTCAGCTGGCATCCCTGGGCCCAGCTGCCTGCTGTCATAGCAACAGGCTTCGCTAGAGCCTTCTAGCCCAGGGACCAGAGAGTCCAAGCAAGGGGGAGGGTTGTCTAGGCTCTAGGTCTCCGCCTATTGCATGGCCCCTCTCTGAGGCCACCTACCTCCTCCTTCTGCTATCTGAGCCCCACCCCTCCCAACATAAAGCACAGGTTGTCAGCCTGCTCATCTGTCTTTGCCCCAGACCTTGAAAGAGTGCAGGATGGTGTTGGGAGGCCAGGGCTGAAGACCTGGCTCAGCCAATACCTTGCTCTGTGACCTTGAGCAAATAGCTGCCTCTCTTTGGGCCTCAGTCACCCATTGTTAAATACAGGAGATGCCACGATCAGGGAAGGGCCTAGACTTCTGACATATTAACTCCTGTCAGTTGGCAGTGGCCATGAGTGCTGTGTGGGCAAGGATTCTGAGCTGAGTCAGGGGTCACTGATCACTGAAGCCTTCACCAGCCCTGGAGAGGAGGGGGACTGTTTTCAGGTCATTAGTTTGCCCCCTGGTCCTAGATGACTCTGCAAATCCCTTCTAGTGCTGACATCCTGAGGGCATCTGTGATCCCTCTGCTAACCTACTGTGTGACTCTAGACCAGAAATTTTCTTTTCTTTTCTTTTTTTTAAAATATATTTTATTGATTTTTTATAGAGAGGTAGGGAGAGGGATAGACAGTTAGAAACATCGATGAGAGAGAAACATCGATCAGCTGCCTCCTGCACACCCCCTACTGGGGATATGCCTGCAACCAAGGTACATGCCCTTGACTGGAACCGAACCTGGGACCCTTCAGTCCTCAGGCTGATGCTCTATCCACTGAGCCAAACCAGTGAGGGCTTCTTTTTCTTTTTAAAAAAATATATCTTTATTGATTTCAGAGAGGAAGGGAGGGGGAGAGAGATAGAAACATTAATGATGAGAGAGAATATCAGCTGCCTCCTGCATGATTGGGGATCAAGCCCGGAAATCGAACCATGACCTCCTGGTTCGTAGTTCGACACTCAACCACTGAGCCACCACAGCATGGCTAGAACAGCAATTTTCAACTGATATGCCACAGTAGGCACACTGTGTGCCACAGAAAATTTTAAAACATGCAATAACCAACTATTTAGTCATGGACACTGACCTCTTTTACCTTAGATTATAAATTTAAAAATGACAACAGCAGCCTCGCTGAGTGGCTTAGTTGGTTGGAACGTTGTCCCACACACTAAAAGATTGCAGGTTCGATTCCAGATCAGGTTATACACGTAGGTTTTAGGTTCAATCCCTGGTCAGGGTGTGTACGGGAGGCAACTGATCTCTCTCTCTCTCTCTCCCCCTTCCTCTCTCTCTAAAATCAATAAACATGTCTTCAGGTAAGGATTTAAAAAAAAAAAAACAAAAAACAACAGCCAATACAAGAATAGTCATCTGGTGTGAATGAATCAAACTTATACCTATTTAACCAAACTGAGCCCTGGCTGGTGTGGCTCAATTGGTTGCACATCATCCTGTGCACCTAAAGGTTGCTGGTTCAATCCCGCAGGGCACATACAGGGGTTGCGGGCTTGATCCCTCGCAGAGGGTGTGCAGGAGGCAGCTGATTGATGTTTCTCTCTCGCTCCCTCTCCCTTCCTCTCTCTCTAAAAATCAATTGGGGGGGGGGGGAACTAACCAAAATTACACCTTTTTTTTTTTTTTGGTCAGATCAGTAAAAATATATACATTTTGGTGTACCACAGAATTTTAATAATTAGTTTATGTGTGCCATGAGATGAAAAGGATTGAAAATCACTGCACAGTCATTTCTCTTATCTAGGCCTCAGGCTCCTCATCTATAAAACCATGCCCTGCCTTCCCCAGGATCTTCCATGGAGCAAATGAACTCAAGGATCTGAATATACTTCCCAAAGTAGGACAGAGCAGCACAACTGCGGCCCCACTGCCTGGAGCCCTGCCCACCCTTCCACCGCATTCCCAACCACAGCCGGCCACTCACTCCGGATCTGCTTCTTGATTTCCTTGGAGGGGTCCAGCCAGTTCTGCAAGAGAAAACAGAGTTCATTAGAGGGAAGATAAAGAAGAAGACCCAGATAAGTCCAGGAGAGAGCAACATCCTGAAATAGCCCCCCTGACAGACCCTGGCAGGAGCACCCTTCCCTGGCTGAGCTTTCTGGGCCCTTTTCCTTGGGACTGGGAGGTAAGGGAATAAGGCCTGGATTCACCACAGAGCCTGGGACTCAGGGCCCTGGGGTGGCATTGCCCTGAGGCAGCACAGTGAACAGGTAATACAGCTGCGGTGAGACTGGTGGAAGGAAGAAACTAGGAGCCTCCCAAGGGTGGGGGAAGTGCCTCAGTTCCCCCAGGAAGCCATGGCTGGTTCTCCAGATACCCATCTGGGGTGGCATTCAGGTCCCCAAGAAAGGACTGGGGGATGGAGTGGACACAGAGAACGGAAGTGCCTCATGAAGATCTGATGGAAGCCATGGGATACCACCAGGACTATGGGGGCCATAGAAGAAGCCTCCCCCACAGCAGGCCTCCCCTGCCAGCCCTGCTCCCCAGCCCAGGTACCTTCTGGCTGTCAGCATCACAGAAGGTCAGGCCAAAGTAGTCCTTCTCCAGGAGGTTGAGGTGCTCACAGACGAGGTCAAACAGCACCTGGCCCCGGCCGTGTTTCTGAAGCAGAGAGCAAAGCTTCTGTGAGGCCAGAATCACTTCCAGGTGGGGCAGGGGGAGACCTCTGACTCCACCAGAACAACGTGCAAACCCCCAAGCGCCTTCCAGCATCTGGAGAGATGTCAGCACTCCTGCCACCCATCTGGCTCTGAACCTAACGCCCAGGTCATCAAGTGCCTTCTTCCAAGCCTTCCCAGACCTTAGACCTGCTCAGGGGGTGGGGAGGGAG